AGCGTGGATCGTTTGAGGAGAGCAGTGGATCACACACTTTACGCGCTTTGGGAGGGCTTAGCGCCCCGCTTCAAGGAAGTATACTACGCCATTTGTGTGAGGTGGGGGCCGCCCAGTAGAGAGACACTTGACGACATCATAGATGTTACGAGCTGGGTGGACTGTTTGGGACCTATCGATCTGATTAGGTACTGCAGAAGACGGGCAGAGATCGATTACGCGGGGCTAGAGGACGCGAGATTTCTCTTCAAGGTCGCGGCTTAGGGGATGTCGGGAAGGACGACCACGGTGATGCGTGTAGAAGAGCAACTGGTGAGCACGGGATACACTATGACAGTACTTCTCCGAGCGTACTTAGACGAGGACTTGACGGCGAGTGAGTGCAGACAACGAGCTAGGGATTCGATCCACGAGCGTAGAGCTCATGTACTGGCGCGAGTGACCTTCCAGACCTTGATCTCTTATGATGTGATGATATGGTCTCGTGGTTATATGCGCGCGGAGCACTACCACGATGAGACAGTAGAGGAGGCTAGAGCGAGGGTGAGAGGATGAGCGGGAGAAAGTTGTGGACTGAGTATGGAAAGGGTGAGTGAGGCAGTCGGAAGAGTGAGAAAGCGCGTTAAAGAACCACTCTTGAACTAGGTAAGGAAGTTGGGGGGCAAGTTAAGAGAGATCTGGTCGTGTCAAGACGAGGGCAAATTGGGAAGGGCTGAACTCGTGACAAGAGAGTTAGACAATCTGTTTAGGGAAGAAAGTGAGATTATCCAAGCGTGGAGATCAGACTTTCTGGAGAGCATAAAGGCTAGAAGCGTATCACGAGGAGGAACTAGTAAGCGATCTGCAGAAAGCGACACAACGGAAGAGAAGGTTACGCGGGGGAGTAGCGACGGGACATGAACGGGACTGCACTACACACGACGGATTGGTACTCATTACATGTGGTAGGGAGACTGGATGGACCATTAGTGTTAGTGATCATAAAACTCCAGCTCCATACCAGACTGTGCATAGTTGAGGAGACAGAGTGTTTCCGCCGTGCCCTGCGTGAGGCAAGGGGGACGGGACTTTGGATTGGAATAGAAGGAGGACGGAGGATAAAGTACGTACTCCGAGTAACACCCTTCGAAGGTCGGTCTCGGATAAGGGCATGGTATGAGACGACCAGAGAGGCTGAGAGGTTGAAGATAAGCGAAGTCAGGAAAGCTGGAGACTTAGGGAGAGTAGTAACAGATGGTGCAATACTCAGGGTGTTAGCCGCTCACAACCGGTACTGGAAGGAAACGATGAAGACTTTAGAGGCGATAGACGAAGGAGGAGATAATGAGGACTTTGAGACATTTTATGACGTATTGGAGCGGTCGGCGATGAGGTTACAAGTCGTTATAGCACTAACTTACCTCAGCTGTTAGACAGATGACCTTGTTACCGTTGAGGAGATAAGGTAGTTGGAAATAGAAATTGGAAGCTCTCAGAAGGATAGAGGAAGCTAGAAAGGTCGATAGGCAACATTGGACGACAGTAGGAGGACCTTTAGCGGGTTAACCGTTTCAGACTGGGCCAGGAGAACTAGCAAGGAGGACGGAGAGAGACGCTTAGGGACTCTTGAGGAGTTGATCAGGAAACATTGGCTAGGTTTAGGATTGACATCTGTCTCAAGGATCGAGGTCCGGTCACGGGCGTACTGTGGATCCGGACAGGCACGGCCTTGTTGACCGATCCCGAAGGAGAGGTTACTTAGACACAGGGATTCTTGGGATAGAGAGAGAACACGASATYTGCGACCGSAACGGGATWCTSGAGGTGGTAATCRAGGCAGTCGAGGGCCAAGATTGGAGGCGGACGTGAGCCGTGACAAGAAAACAGGTCCGGGCTGCAACGACTGTCATAAGGGCGGGCTGTAACAGTTGGCAAGAAAACCTAACTGTGTCTTCAGKAGGTCCAATGGAACCCGACACGATGGGGCCACAACCGACCATGGGCGAAGCGGGAGAGGAGTATAGGACATCGCCCGACCGAGCTCTGAGAGAACTGAAAGAACGAATTAGGCAAGAAGCGCCGCTGAGATGGGCTGACCAAACCAATGACGGAGGGCCCGACGTAAGAGGCGAATCTGTTGCAACAGAGCCGGAGGAGGTTCTAAGGACGGGTACCTCGAGCGATCGACGAGAACGATAAGACGACGCTCCCTCGAGTATGAGCGGAGGGACACCATAGCGGATAGGCACAGAGACGACTGGAGAGAGAGTTTGAGAGATTCCTGTTGGAGGGACAGAGAAAGAGACAGGGCGCCGCCCAGGCGAGGCTTCGACCCGCAGACGGGGGAGTCACATCCGGTCCCTTACGAGAGCAAGGATCGCTATATTATTACRCACAAGGCCTTAGAGCCTCCTACTTTCAGGGGTTATGGTATCACGRAATATCTGGAAAAGTGGGAGCTTCACGCCAGCCGGAGTCAGTGGTCGGAGGAAGAGATTATAGAGAACTTCCTATTTAATGTGGACCCAAGTCTTGGTAGGGAAGTTAAGGAAGCTCGACCGAAGGATGGGAAATGGACTACGTACAAGAAGAACCTCGTTGAGCTTTATAAATTGGAGGATAACAAGTATTCCATCAAGGACCTTGAAACAATGACTCAAGATGAAGATGAGAGCGTACGGGCATTTGGGATGCGTTTCCAAAAGATCTCTGACGTGCTGATGAAGAAGGGGAAGATCTCAGAGGTCGAGCGCTGTACTATCTTCATTGGACACTTGTCCAAAGGTAGGCAAAAGAGTATACTTAGAGATCTTCCGCGCGACAGGCTTGATTTCCCAGAAGTCCTAAAGCTCGCGATAAAGACAGAGGCAGACGATTACAAGGACTTGGTGTGGAGAGGGATGAGGAGACTTGACTTCTCTCTCTACAAGGAGTATGCTACTGATAGATGTCCGGATTTTAAGGATTATCCCTGGTCGGAGAAGAATGAGGCCGTAGCTGAGGGAGTAAAGGAGATACGGGACATGGTGAAGGGATTAACGAGACAGGTTACAGAGATTGTGACCGCTACAGGGGCCGCGACCTACCGGGACAAACCTGGAGGGCCCTATTCACTTTGCTGGGACCGTACGAACAACGATCCCTGGAGGAGTGTCGAGGATAGAAATCCTCGGACGCTGACTGATTATCGAACGAGGGGAAGACAGAGAGACGATGAGCCATGGCGACATAGGGACGATGAGATAGACCGAGACCGCAGAGACCGCGAGCCGTTTGTGCGAGCAGGGAGGCTGAATGATTACCCGCGAAGCCCTCGCTATGAGGCCGATCGGGGAAGAGGCGACTCCCGCGGCCGATGGGAGACAGAACAGAGTCGACGAGATGGATATAGGGACGACAGATATGAGAGATCGGACCGATATGGATATAGGGATGACAGATACGAGAGGTCGGGTCGAGATGGCTACAGAGGAAGTAGATATGAGAGAGGAGATCGGGACTGGGAACGACAAGATGGGTTACGTGGACGGTTTGAGCGCGGGGGAGAAGTGAGAGAGCAGCGCGACGAGTCGCGGGGATGGCACAATCGAGGGGGCAGACGCGATGAGTCTCAAGGACGATATGACTCAGGGGACCGCCGAAATGATTCGCGAGGACGGTGTGAGCAAGCGGGTTTTGGAGAAGACTGGCGCAACGATCCGCGCGGTCGGAATGAGAAAGGGGGATATGGCGTCTCATCAGAACCATATCCCAAATCGCCTGACCCCAGGGCGGCCAGGAGTTCGATCTCTAGAGGCGCAGACGACAGGGCATCTACTCCGAGGAACTCATGCGTCTACTGTAGAGGAGAAGATCATATCAAGAGGGATTGTCCGGACCTTAAACGGGCAATAGAAGAGGGACTTGTCGTGCCTGACGACCGCAAGTACGTCAAGTGGGCAGATRATCTCGGAGATGTATCGATGTTCCCTTCAATGAAGGAGAATGTCGAAGCAAGGAGAATAAAGACGAGTAAAGGAATGGAGCCGGTCAGAAGCCAGAGCATCAAGGTAACCTTTGAGGGGGATATGACAACCACACCGATAAGGGTGGCAGCTGCCAAGTCGTTGAGAGGGTCTGCATCGAAGAAAACTGACACGGATTACGTGATGGCGGAGAAGGACGGGCAGCGGATCGATGGAGATGAGGTTATCCTTTCGCCGCGAAAGCGGGGAGTGAAGAAGTTCTTAATGAAGAGTTCGCAGGACGAGATTGACACGGTCGAGCCATTAAGGCGGGCCCTTCGGCAACCCATGCAGTGCTCTATTCTGGAGTATCTGGCGGCATCGAAGCCGGCTCGTGATGAATTACAGATGATCACGCGGAAGACTCGCATACCTCTATCAGAGAACGATCAGGGARCCCCTAAGGCGGAAGCTTCTACAGTAGCAGTAACGGGGGTGACTGCCAGAGCGGATCGCATGGCGTCCGTCCTTCTGGATGGAATGGAAGGTGTGCCTCTAGACAAGTTTTATATACTGGGTAGCGGAGCCGTGGAGACGATTATAAACGATGGAGCGGTACTCGATGCTGTGATTGATAACGGCAGTTAGGCTTTCATCATAGACGAGGACCTGGCGGTACAAGTTGGACTGGGCCTCGATAGGTCATACCTATTCGAGATAGAGACGGCTGATGGGAGAAAGCAACAGATCACTGGGGTTTGTCACAAGGCAGTTATAGAGGTCCAAGGGGTGAGAGTGACCCTGCCTGTCTTCGCGGTCAAGAACTGCCGCTCCGACCTGCTCTTGGGTCGAACGTGGCTCAGCCACGTGCATGCGGTAACGAGAGAGCGACCTGATGGGAGCTAAACATTGTCCATTAAGAAGCCAGACGGGACGCGGATAATGATTGAGACAGTGGAGCCTCGGGACCCGAGGAACAGAGCAGCTCTCGCTGTGGGTGCAAGACCCGGTGATCGGATCAAGTCGTTGCCTATCTCCAGCCGCGCGGTGCGATTTCGCGAGAAGAAATATGGGCCACTGCTCACAGAGGAAGAAGGTCGGATGGTGGAGGTGGAAGACTTAGGGAGTTGGCTAATAGTGCATGGTAACTCGTACCCAAAGGGGAAAGATGAGGAATTTGGCGGTGTGGTATCCGTGTCTTCTTTAAGGGCACGGCCCCCTATGGGGGGCTACCCAAACGACACAAACGAGTAGCACAAAAAGTTAAGCCAGCGGCGGTGGKCCGCGAGCGATCTGCACTAGAAGGGATAACGGAAGAAGAGATTGCAAAATAAATCAAAGAAAGAAAGAAAAAGGAGCCACAACGCCTAACGGAAGAGAGAATAGCAGGGATGGACATCGGAGATGGAAATTTGACCCCACAGGAGCGAGAGCGTGTGATAGAAATCCTGAAGACATATGATAAAGCCACAGCTTTCAGCGACGTGGAGCGCGGTAGGATTGACCCTCGATACGCTAAGCCAGCGAGGATTTATATGATTCTACATGTTCCCTGGAACGACGCGAGATGGAAATACGCCCAGAAGGAGAAGGAAGAAGTTATCGCCTTCCTGAAAGAAAAGATGATTTCCCACGTTGCGGAGCCGTCTGATAGCGCTTATGCWAATCGATGGTTCTTCCTACGAAAGCCGAATGGCAAGATTCGATGGATCCAGGACCTTCAGAAGGTCAACGCGGTGACGATACGAGACGTGGGCTCCGT